CTTAAATATAAATACACATACACAATAAAAATAGGACATACAGATATATATACACATATATATATATATGCACACACGCATATATATATACACACATACATACACACATACACATACATATATATACAAATATATTGTGGCACAAATTATGTCTGGATGCGTATGTATTATAATCTGATTGTGTTTTTGTTGTGTCACGCGTGAGTTTAAGACCATATTCACAAACTTTAAAATAAAAACGGAAAAAGAAAAAAATATATACATGTATTATCAGATGACCGACGAATTGTAGCTTTTTGTCTTGTCAGACGTAATTTCAATGAAAAATGAATTGAATAAACATATATATTTTTTTCTTTTCTCAATAATTTTGTAGTTTTTAAAACTTAATAGTGATTAAATTTGATTTTTAAAATTGCCAGTTTTTAATTTTAATATTAAAATTTTATCATATAAATTTATAATTATTAGTTAGTAAAATTATTTTTAATAATATTACACGTATTTAAAGATCTAAATAGTTATAATAGAAGGATTTGTTGTCGTAAGCTTTTGAATCTTTCTGTACTTCGTTTTTGATTGGTTATTCTAGCTTTTGTAACAATGCTCCCTAGTGTAGGATCGTTAATTAATCTGAAAACTTTTAAACCATTTTATTTTCTTTTCAACACTATCACTTGATAAGACAGAGTGTGTTGAAACAAATGGCTATTTTTGTAGTGATTTTTATAACATACTTATGTTATAAATTTTTTAAAAATAATTACACATATATATTTGTATTGAGCACTTTTTAAGAATAGTAATTGCTGTTGGTTATTAAATTATATATATATATATATATATATATATATATATATATATATATATATATATATATATATATATACATATATATATATATATATATATATATATAAAGATACACATGCAAAGGTTTGTATCTAAAGAAAACTATACATATATATATGTTCATTATATATATATATATAAATAAAAGGATATCTAATATATATATATTTATTTATATATATATATATATATATATATATATACACAATGAATTTATATATGGATATAAAACAATTATACATATATATATATATATTTGAAGTTAGATTTTCAGCGAAAACCTGTTGCTAAGTGTTGTTGTTTTTTTATTATTTAATATTATTTTAATATGTCTTGTAATATTAAATTTATACTTTTATTTGCATATATATACCATATATATATATATATTATAACTATATATGTAAAAAAATTTCTTAGAATTAAGACACCATATAAAAAGACAATATGTATTAAGGAAAAAGACAAAAGAAAATAGGAAAACTAATTTTAGCCAATGTGTTTCGTCCAATGTGGCCTTTTTCAAGGCAAAAAACAAAATGAATTTACTGAAACAAAGTATCCATACACAACAAAGAAAATGACGTTAGCAACTAGAAGAATTTAGAAACCCCATTGTATATTCATATGGTCAACTCAAAAATGACATCAATTACTTTATGTTTGAAGAGAATATTTCTATGTGTAGAAATATTGTTTGTATTTTTTTGTTGATGGATTCAACCATTTTCTTTTGTCTCTTGATATATTTGTTGTGTATGTTGTGGCTTTTTTTTCCTAGTATCACCTTTCCTAACAGAATTACTACTCTCCCAAGCCAACATATAGTTTTTAGGTATGCTATATTTATGGATTAAAGTGCTCAATATCAGGGATAGAGTTTATACAAATATAAAAGCAGGCTCTGAAGTCAGCACTTAGAGGAGACTGTCCAGTTCATGTTAAACGCTGACAATTGCATTTAGCATGAAACAGACTGTCACCTCCAAGTGCTGACTTCAATGTCCACTTATATTATAAATTCAATTTTTGGCAAAATGTGATATTTGTCACAGGTAAACCCAAGACTCAGGAGTGAAATTAGATAGACAGGATTGTTCAGAAGCCATCAATAGTTGTGCTAGCAGAGAGTCATAAGTCATCATGACTGCAGGAGTTAGACAGCATGAAACTGAAGTTGCTCAAAAATTGATCGTGCCGATTATGCTCTTTTCCCCAGAAACGTAAATCAGAATGGGCTCAGTTTTTTGAAAGTAAAAATGACAGGTTAACTCAGTGAGTTGAGCAGGTGTCTTTAATAGGGATTTGCAATCCACCCTGGCAGACAGGTGTGCTCAGAAACAAGTAGCCAGCCATAGTCATATAAAGTATAATGGATTTATTTTTAATCTGATACTTTTATTTCTCATATGTGAATAGTGTTGTGTAGGAAACCTACCACCCCTCTTGAAGATGAACTTGTCTAGAAACAAAGACGTTAAATAGTGGCATGTCAAAAGACAAACAGAGTCGGAGAAGTTCTTATTGAGCTAGTTATAATTACCCAGGCGATTTCTGTACCTACTTACCAACCGAATAAACCCCTTTTTATTTGTTACGTGTTATTTGGCGTTTGTCTTTATTAACCCCAAATCAACATCATAACAAATAGACAAACTGTATTATGTCTGTTGGTCTGTGCACTCAAGAAAACTTAATAAAGATAAGGTACTCTCTAGCAGGGTTCAAACCTGTGTCCCCCTATGTAAGAGAAACCACCATCTGATCCACCCTGCTTTAGACTGCTCAATCACAGAGAACATCACAGCCAAATATGGTTCTATTTAGCCTTTTAAAGAATGTACATCTGCTCATTCAAATTTTCTCAAGATATGTGTGTGTGTGTGTGTGTGTTTCATCATCTGACAAACTTTTTATCAAGGCAAATATAATATTTTATTTTGCAACAAGTACCTATTTACCAGTTACTCAAGTTTTTCCCAATCTCAACTTTTCTGAAAGAAATAAGACTTTCCCAAGCCAGCATACACGACCACAAATGTGTGGAAAAAAAAATCAAAGGAAAATGGCTGAATCTATCATTTCAGCCTTTGAAGATGTATAATGCAAACATTCATTTCATACCCCAATCCAAACAATATTTTTTAAAAAGAAAAGAGAAAAAAAAAATTCTTTTCAAGGATGCTAAGAGACGTAATCTAATGTCTAATACCTGAACATTTCAGTTGACCCGATGAATATTTATGAGCGTCTTTAAATTTAAAATTTTGAGTAACTGACAAATAGATATTTGTTGCAAAATAAAAAAACATTACATTTGCCTTGATAGAGTCAGTCAGATGATGAAACATGTCAGGTAAGACTAAGTATCATTTTTCTCTTATCTTTTTTTATTCATTTTGTCTCTTCTCAAGATATATATATATATATTTTAAATTAATTAATGATTGAATATTTGATTTAGAATTTATTTATGTATAAATAAATATTATCAAAATTCATTCAAAAAATCTAAATGAATAAAAAATTAGATTTTTTTAACACAATAGATTGAATATTTGCTTTATATATTCATATATAAATAAATATTATCTAAACATATTAAAACATCTAAACACATTAAAAACAGAGTTTTTAAAATCACTAAAAGATTGAATATTGGATTTAGAATTTATTCTTATATAAATAAATATGAATATATCATCTGAATTCATTAATAAAATTTAAACCCATAAAATTAATCTAATCACATTAAAAATTTAAACATCAAAAACTAAACTTTTTGAAAATGACTAAAAGATTAATTATTTGCTTTAGAATTTACTCATATATAAATAAATATTAATAAATATATTAATATTCATTTATTTATAAATGAAAAATTCTAATGATGAACACATGATAAAAATTATAATTCTAAACACATTAAAATATCTAAACACCTAAGAAAATTGTTTTTTTACATTGCTAAAATATTGAATGCTCACTTTAGAATTCATTCATTTATAAATGAATAAATTAATACATTATTTAAACCCATTAAAAATTATATTTTATAAATTACTAAAAGACTGAATAATGGCTTTAGCATTTATTCATTTATAAATTAATATTTAATTTAAAATTTATATATATTAAAGATTAGTATTAAAAAAAAAATATATTTAAATTCAGTTTGACTATTGAAGATGACATCACCTTTAAACCACTTTAGTTTAATTTCAATTCTAAAAATACCAATATTTGCCAAAATACATTTTGATAAACATGGTGATAATTCACAATTCCTGATAAAAACTGTAGTGACAGTTGAAAATACTTAAATCTATTTAAAATCAATAAAAGATGGAATATTAATATATTATTTATACATAAATAAATATTAATATATTATTGAAACACATTAAAAAATCTAAACACATTAAGAAACTAAACACATTAAAAAATTTAAACATATCAACAAATATAAACACATTAAAAACAGATTTTTTAAAATCACTGTAAGATGAAATATTTGCTTTAGAATTTATTTATATATAAATAATTAGTAATATATATTTCTAAACACATTAAAAAATCTAAACACATTAAAAAAGTAAACATATTAAGAAACTGAATACATTAAAAAACTTAAACACATCAATAAATATAAACACATTAAAATAGATTTTTTAAAATCACTATAAGATGGAATATTTGCTTTAGAATTTATTCATATATAAATAATTAGTAATATATTATCTAAAGATATTAAAAAAATCTAAGCACATTAAAAATTCTAAACACATTAAAAAATCTAAACACATTAAAAAATCTAAGCACATTAAAAAATCTAAGCACATTAAAAATAGATTTTTTTAAAATCACTATAAGATGGAATATTTGCTTTAGAATTTATTTATATATAAATAATTAGCAATATATTATCTAAACACATTAAAAAATCTAAGCATATTAAAAAACTAAACACATTAAATTATGGTGTTAGAAAAAGCAGTGGGTGGTTGAATAGAAAGCTGTTGAGAATGTGAAAAAAAACTCCTGTTGAATTTGTGTGAAAGTTTGTTTTCGCTTGCTTTTGTTTTGCATATTAAATTTGGGGAATAATACTAACACAAAAAAGATTGACTCTAAAAAACCCATTTCACATGGTTACTTTTACTGTAAGCGTGAACCTGCTATAAATGGTGAAGGAGACTTGTACACGTTCTCTCCGTCGTTAGCAGTGAAAAACGTAGCTCAGTTATGGAACAATCCCAAGATGATTTGTAATGCAAAAAAGAAATGGAGTACAAAGGATGGAATGAACAAGAAGAGAAAAGAAGGAAGCCGAAGAAAAGATGAAGAAAAATAACCATAAAAAGTGGATTTTCTTTGAAATATTACAATTAGAGCTGAACTGTCTGGATTGGAAATTAAGTCAATTTCCCTTGGGGAAGGAGGTGATTTGTTAATAGCTTTTTGATGTTGGCTACCAAACAAGCAGAGGATCCCATTCAATGGACAGCAAGGTCACCAGATAGAATAGAATAAACTGGCATTAGCTACAGCAAGAACTAGAACATAACAATCAACGGGAGATGGGCTGCGAGAGGGAGGTGGTCTTAAAAGGCAAAGATATGGCTTTTGAAAATAAAAATGGTAACCTAATCTAATAATTATGGATTTTAAAATGTATAGAATAAGGATGGGAAGAGGAATTCAAAGACAAGATTTTGGTTACTAATTTCAGTCTATTTTTATTAATCAACCTACAATTAAAGAAAAAAAAATAGAATTTCAAAAGGTAGCCAGAAGAAAAATACTATTGAAAGAGTCTTATCAAAAATATAATAATAATAATAATAATCATAATAATAACAAAAGGGCCCAAATACAGGACCTTGAAATAGAAATCTCGAAAATGTGGGCATATGGGAACATCAACAATCCCTGTTGTAGTTGGAGCCCATTTCAGGACTGGTTGGAAAGATTGCAGTAGACGAATTGAAGGGATTCTTGGAAGTCCATGCCTCAAGGAGATATAAAAAATTGTTTGACCTGTACAGCCCATACAATACGAAGGGCTTTATCTATATATATTTTTTTTTTTAGTCAGTGGAAAGTGTCATATAAGATTTCAAATGGCATAGTGTCCCTCAGTGGACCCGAAAGAAAAATAAAACGCCAGAAATCAAAAGAAAATAATAATAATAATAATAATGACAAATTATTAAAAAACACCATGCTCAAAAAAAATATATATATATATATAATTTCTTTTGCTGAATAGAAGAAAAATTATTTACACAATTTATATTTGGACAATTGTCCCCATCTTTGTTGTTGTTATCACAATGTTTCAGCCATTGTGTCCTCTGGCCTTCTTCAGGTGCATATCAATCTGAATAACTGACAGAGGATGGTAAACTAAACTCTTTATTTAATCTTCAATTCAGAATTCCCTCTAAATTACCCAGATTGATATACACATTTTACTAACTGGAGGCAGCAAATTTACTTTGTTAAAAACTTTTGATCTGTAAGACAAATTTCACTGTTTAAAAAAACAGGTGACTATTCAAACACAAGTACCAAATATATATATATATATGTGTGTGTGTGTGTGTGTGTGTGTACATATGAATTGGAATCAAATATAGATCAGTATATTCTTATTCATTCTATTCATTCCCATCTATCTCACATTCATTCCTCTATCTCTATTCCCATTCATTCATTCATCTATCTCTGGTTGTCTGGGGATTCATCTATCTATCTATCTATCCCAGTCTGTTTTCATTATAATTCATCTATCTATCTATCTCAGTCTTTTTTCTATCTGTCATCTATTTATCTATCTCTCTATCTCAGTCTTTTCCTATCTATCTATCTATTTATCTATCTCTCTATCTCAGTCTTTTCCTATCTATCTATCTATTTATCTATCTCTCTATCTCAGTCTTTTCCTATCGGAAACTCTATTTATCTATCTCTATCTCAGTCTTTTCCTATCTATCTATCTATTTATCCCTTTCTCTCTATCTCAGTCTTTCCTATCTATCTATTTATCTATCTATCAGTCTTTTCCGTTGAATATCTATCTCTTGCAGTCTTTTCCCATTCATCTATCTCAGTCTTTTTCCTTTTCTAACTATCTATCTATCTATCTCAGTCTTTTCCCTATCTATCTATCTATCTCAGTCTTTTCCTATCTAACCATTCATCTATCTATCTATCTCAGTCTTTTTCCCTATCTAACCATTCATCTATCTATCTATCTATCTCTAGTCTTTTCCATCTATCTATCTATCTATCTATCTATCTATCTCAGTCTTTTCCCTATCTATCTCCATCTATCTATTCATCTATCTATCTATCTCTTTTCCATTCATCTATCTATCTATCTATCTCAGTCTTTTCCCCATCATTCTATCTATCTATCTATCTCAGTCTTTTCCCATCTATCTTATCTATCTATCTATCTATCTCATTCTTTCCTATCCATCTATCTCATCTATCCTATCTCAGTCTTTTTCCTATCTATCTCATCTATTCCCTCATTCATTCATCTATTCATTTATCTATCATTCTATCTATCTATCTATCTCAGTCTTTTTCCTATCTATCTATCTATCTCAGTCTTTTCCTATCTATCTATCTATCTATCCATCTATCTGTGTGTGTGTGTATTTTAGAATGTGGGTCCCTTTCAAGGCATAAAGGGTTACATCTGTGCTGCATTCTGTTAAAAACTGTTGAGTGTTTTGTTATTTGCAATAGTAACAATCGATATATATATAAAACACATACACGCACATATATATATATATATGTATGTATATATATATATATATATATATATATATATGTTTATATATATATATATATATATATATATATATATATATATTTATATATATATATGTTTATATATATATTTATATATATATATGTTTTTTTTATATATATATATATATATATATATATATATATATGTATATATATATATATATATGTATGTTTATATATATATGTTTTATATATATATATATATATATTATATATATATATATATATATATATATGTATGTATGTTTATATATATATGTTTTTATATATATATATATATATATATATTTTATATATATATATATATATATATGTATGTATGTTTATATATATATATATATATATATATGTGTTATATTATAATTAATATTGATTTTTTACAGTTCCAACCATGTTTCAAAAAATAGAACATGGTTGGAACTGTGTAGCGAAAAAAACATATTTTAAATCAATTAATTTATAATATTAATGCTCTGTAAATTTACATTGAGCAATATTTTGTAAAAATAAAAATATCTATAAGAACACGGATTTTTTTATCTTACTCTTTCTTTCTTTTTATTTATATATATATATATATATGTTTATATATATATATATATGTTTATATATATGTTTATATATATATATATATATATATATATATATATATATATATATATATATATATATATATATATATATATATATATATATATATATATGTTTAGATTATTCATCTTCAGAATATTGCCCTTTTTTTTGTTGTTGTTATCACAATGTTTTGGCTATTGTGTCCTCCAGCTTTCATCAGATGTATATCAATCCAGGCAATCAACTAAACTGAACTGAACCCTTTATTTAATCTACAATTCAGAATTTCTTGTAGTTTAAATAGGACAATAGTCTGAATGTAAATCATCTAAATAATTATAAATCCTCCATCCCAGAAATTCAGACAGAAGTAAAGTTCAAAGATGACAGAATTTATAAGGAAAGGGATACTAAAAAAACTATGCAGAAACCAGTTTTTGCTGTAGTAAAATGATTTCAACTCATTAACGAGATGTGTGGGTAGCGTAACAGTCAATGGGGAGAGTGAAGTAGCTATGGATTAAATAACAGAGTAGCCTGGGCTATCTAGTTTTGAGTGTCTATTGATTGAACTAACAAAAAAGAGGAGAAAATGAGGGAGAAAGGGAGATACAAAGGGAAAAGAGAGAGGAAGAAAAGAGAGAGAGGAAGAAAAAAAAAGAGAGGAAGAAAAGAAAGATAGAGGAAGAAAAGAGAGAGAGGAAGAAAAGAAAGAGAGGGGAAGAAAAGAAAGAGAGAGGAAGAAAAGAAAGAGAGGGGAAGAAAAGAAAGAGAGTGGAAGAAAAGAGAGAGAGTGGAAGAAAAAAGAGAGAGTGGAAGAAAAGAGAGAGAGAGAGGAAGAAAAGAGAGAGAGAGA